AATGGCTTAAATTTATCACAACCTGAAGATAGACCTTCAAGTAGTACACAAGTTCCCTTGTCTCAACCTTCAATTTCTTCTACTGGATCAAATTCTAGGAATTCTTCATTCATAAGAAGAGGAGATGCGCGACGGCGTAGAAGTCCATTAAATTCTGGCTTATGGATATCTATTGAATTACTACTCACTATGAGCCAGATTATTGCAGCTATTATTGTCTTATCATTGTCAAAGAACGAAAAACCTCGTGCACCTTTGTTTGCGTGGATTGTGGGATATGCATCTGGGTGTGGTGCCACCCTTCCTCTCCTCTATTGGCGTTATCGACACCACAATCAAGCTTCAGAACAAGGTTCTCTTCAGTCCAGCCAGAATTCTTCTCGCATTAATGCTCCTGCTGGGCCATTCTCTCTTTCTGTTTCTAGGGCGTCAGAAGGGGAAGAACTTCAGCATCCTGCCCCATCCCCTAGAGGCAGTCAAGGGTCAGGAGTAGTAACAGGAAGGTATGGGGTTTTTATGCCTGTACCAGTGTACTTTAATTATTGGCCATGATTGAAAAATAACCCAATTTCTTGTGGCATTACTTTTATTTGATCGATTTTGGATTTTCAGTTCATGAGATTAGTTCATCAATTTATACTTGCTGATAGCTATTTTCTGTTGATGTTTTAGATCATGAAAGTTAATTGGGAGTGAGAGAGAGAGAAAACACGATTGTAATAATTATGGGAAATCAAGCATAAGAGCTCTTACTTGCACTTTTTATCTTCTCTTTTATTGCCTTGCTCCAAATTATGCATGAGATCCTGATTCCCGTACGCTATTACATGGCTTGTAGCTCAATTATTAGAGCAATTAATCCAACTTCATAGGGGTGTGGCAATCTCATTAGGCAGGTTGCTGTTTTGACTGAACCACACATTCATCGTTACACGTTTATTTTATTTGATTCTTTTGGACATAGAAACTAAACGCATGCCAGAACTGCCGTAGCCTTGGCCTTGATTAACACCAAATGCCTCTAATAATCATGTTCCAAGGGTACAAAGCATAAAAATAGTCATGTTCAAGGGTGTGGCAGTTTTTTGCATACTATAGGTGCTCAATTCCTTGTTTCTTGATCTTTTCTCAATGCCTTTTTTTCGCTTCGCTTTTCCAGAAGTTAAGCAATAATTGTCCTTACATTTGGGATTGTGGTAATTTTGCATGCCAGATTTAAAGTTTTGGTTGAATATTTGAAGATGGGCCTGGATTGCTTCTTTGCTGTTTGGTTTGTAGTTGGTAACGTTTGGATCTTTGGAGGGCATTCATCAGCCTCCGAGGCTCCTAACTTGTACAGGTTTGTGCTGTTAGACCATGTGTCTTTGTAGATGCACAATGGCGTTTCTATAATGGATTTTATTAATTTCTTTCTCATTCTTTGCAGGCTATGTATAGTGTTTCTTACCTTTAGCTGTATTGGTTACGCCATGCCTTTCATTCTATGTGTAACCATCTGCTGTTGCCTACCATGTATAATTTCCATCCTTGGGTTTAGAGAGGAGTTTACACAGACCCGAGGAGCCACAGCAGAATCTATTAATGCTTTACCAGCTTATAAATTTAAGCTGAAGAAAAGCAGAAGCGGAGATGATAGAGAAAACAACTCCGGGGCTGGTGAAGGAGGAGGGGTTGTGGCTGCTGGAACTGAAAAGGAGCGAGTGATCTCTGGAGAAGATGCTGTAAGTACACTACAATCTATTCTATTCAATACTAACTTTATCATTGTTTTAACTATTCACCCTTTTGGCTTTCTAATTTTAATTTTTATTTGTTGGTAAAAAATTTTGTTTTAAAAACAAAATTTGCTTTTCAGAATCTCACATTTTCTCTCTCCAACCTACCTTAAAATATTTCCCTCTCCTTAAAATTTCGATTCTCTCCCAACTTTTCTCTTTTTTCTTTTTCTTTTGTTTTTGTTCTCTGTAAAATTCTTCCTTCTCTCTTTAACTTATCCTCCCCTCTTCAACGTCTCTCTAAAAAAGTTCTTCACAACTTTTGTTTCTCCCTCTAACTTGAATATTCATCTTGACCCATTAGTATTAGTTTGAAACACAATTTTTTTGCGCAATTATTTTCTTTACTATATAACTAGCAGCCACTTAATAAGGCCATAATTGATAACGTCTTTACAATAGTTTTTATCCTTTTTAAGCAAATATTCAAATTCTTAGTCAAATTTCAAAAACAAAAATAAGGTTTTGAATTTCGTTTGAATTTTAAAAACACTTTCAAAAGTAGTTCTCATTAACCCAAAAATCTATAGTCTATAGGAGGAAGTAGTGTTAGTTTAATTTTAAAGGAGCGAAGTGATAATCTGTCAATAGGGAGATCTAACTTAATGCAACCGCATGAAATGGATTATCAGTTGATTTGGAAATTATAGGATAAAAGTTTTGATGGGTTCCCACTAATGCTTGGATGAGAGCCTCGTTTCTGTTGCATTATCGTAGCATTTAGTGAATATTTAAAATTGATGTGCAGGTCTGTTGCATTTGCTTAGCAAAATACGCCAACAATGATGAACTGAGAGAGCTGCCATGTTCTCACTTTTTTCACAAGGACTGTGTAGATAAATGGTTGAAAATCAATGCACTGTGCCCACTGTGCAAAACCGAGGTCGGTGAGAGTATCATCAGCTCTCTTGATGGGGCTAATAGACAACAGGGTGATTCTTGAGGAAAGGCTTTGACTACACCACACCGTGTTCTTAGTTCTCTGGATGGCTTCTGCTGCAAGTGTAGTAAGTATAAGCTCATCCTTCCTTAAGCCGTTCAACCTTATTTTTTGGTTCTTATGCGGCATTCATTAGAGCCTTCGACAACCTCTTGTAGCAAATCCATCCATTGTTAATATCGGCAGATGGTGCATGCTCAATGTTTTGAACGAGTGGGGATCGTTGTGACTGCTCGCTCGTGTATATACAAGGTATATACTTGTATAATCACACTTTCTCTTGTATTGCCCTCCTCAGTTTTGTGGTATAATAGCTATGATAATGAATAATTAGTCCGAGTATAATATGAATGTTTGCAAGTCATCCATTCCATCTGTGATCTGAAGAATTAATCCAACTTCTTTGTTAACATCACCAACCTTGATGCTCGTTTGATCTCCCCATCCCGTGTAGTTGTTGAACTAAAAAACACCGCGTGTGAAACAGGAAAACATTCAACACCTACCCATGGGTGTTTTGAACGAGTTGACTTGATAGAGTTGTGAGAAAGATCAATTAAGAACACCTACCCATGGGTGTCAAGGACATTTTTCTTGCTGATCTACACATAGCCCTTCTCCAAGGCCTTATAATGCTGTTCTTTGGGACTGTACTGTAGGTCACTGATCTACACACAGCCCTCTCTTTTTTCACAATGTAAAACGACTTCAAAGCTAGAAAATTCTTCGATACTTACATAAAGCCCAAAGAACAGGACTGAATACACATGCTTGAAAATTAGGTATTTTGGATAGAAGTGTAGCATATAGGGCTATGAAAGGATGAATTTACCCCCATGACAGTCCAAGCCCACTATTTTTTGGGTTTCCATTTCCATTTTTTTAAAAATGCGTCTGGGAGAGGTTTTCATATTCTTGTAAAGAATATTTTGTTCTCCTCACTACCTCAGATCTCACAATCCACTCCCTTTAGGGCCTAGCGTCCTTGTTAGGACTCGTTTCCTTCTCTAATCGATGTGGTATCTCACAATTCACTCCCTTTAGGGCCCAACGTCCCTATGAGGACTCGTTCCCTTCTTTAATCAATGTGGTATCTCACAATCCACTCCTCTTTCAAGGCCCAACGTCCTCACTAGTACTCGTTCCTTTCTCCAATCGATGTGGGATCTCACAATCCACCCCCCTTTGGAGCCCAGCGTCCTTGCTAGCACATTGCATTGTGTCCACCTCTCTTTGGGGTTTAGCCTCTTCGCTGGTACATTACTTGGTGTTTGGCTCTGATACCATTTGTAATGATCTAAGAACCCAATACTTGAAGATATTGTCTTCTTTTGTCTTCTTTTGGTTTTCTCCTTCAGCTTCCTCTCAAGGTTTTTAAAAAGATAATGAGAAGTTTTGACATTTTTATAATGAATGTTTCTCTCTCCTCTCCTCAATCGAAGGACTTGTCTCTACTCCTTCTCCCCCAAGGATATTGTGGAGCTAATAGGATCGAGTTCCTTCTCTTTAGGGTTTACATACTTTGACTCAGTCGGTGGACAATGGATCAATGAGACGCAAATTGCTGTCAGCTTGCAATTAGGGCTCAAGGAATTTAAACATAATTGTCTATTCTGGAAGCGATGTCAACAGATTAAAAGTCTACGTGGATTAATGAATTCCAACCTTCTAAGTTATTATTATTAAAAATTTATAGATTAGAATGATAAAATTTGAAACTTTAGAAACTAAATACATACAATCGAAGGACTAAAAAGTAATTTTCCTTGTCAATCACAGATTTTTAAATAAGAAAAATAATAATAATAGTGATTATTAAAAATAATTTATGTATATTAAAAAGAACTCTCCACTCCCTTAATGACTACTTAAAATATTATTGTTATTATTTAAAAGTTATTACAATTTTATTTTTAAAAAAATTATCACATAAATATGGGTGTGATCTAAGGATTAAATTCATCTATTTGTTTAACAATTTTTTTAAATATAGAGACAGAAATTGACCAGCTACCGAAAATGATAATTTACCTTTTTACCCTTTCAGCTTAATTTTTATTTGGTTTTTAAATAACACTTTAAACTCTAGATTGGTTGGTTGACCGAGTTTAAAATTAATGTAACTCTACTTGAGTAATATTTAAAAACCAATTTAAAATTTTTAATACTAATTAAAAATTTATTTTAAATGAAATGAAAGAGGAGAGAGAAAAATTTATTAGAAACTTTTTAATTTTGAATTTTGAATTATTTTTAATTTTAGAGCAATTTTCCCCCACGTTTGGATGAAATCCACTCTGCAAACTAAACTCATACGGGTGGCCTGAGGAAGCAACAAAGAGACGCAGAGAGTGAGCGCTGAAGGCTGAAGGAGCAATGGCGCTTCTCAATTCCTCTCTATCTGTTTCTACTCCCACCAACGCTTCTCTTCCAAATCTGTCCTTCTTCAGGTTCTTCATTTTCTTTTTACTATCTTACAATCAATAAATTGCTTCTTATCCACTGAAACTCATTCCTAAATTCTTCTCTAATTCGCAGCAATCGACCTAGAAACTTGCCCTCTCGGAAAATAATTGGAATGTACAAGAAATTGAGTCTCTGTTCGACTTCAATCTCAAAATCCACCTCAGAAAATGTGTTTTCCAGAAGGGATTTGTTGCTATTTGGGCTTTCTTCTTCGTTTGTTCTGACATTTCCATCATTAGGTCAGTTTTTCTTGCTGTGGTTCGCTTATTTTTCTGCTTCTCCTCTGTTGAAAAATGATCCATAGGTTAATTTCGTGATGGAATAGCTTGAGGTTTGAGATGGATGAAGAGATAACGCTTTGATTTCAGGTTCTCTTGCGGAGGAACAGTTGAAGGCTGCTACAATGGTCGACGAAGTAAATGCTTATTCTTATATTTATCCACTGGAATTGCCGTCTACTAATTTCGCCTTCAAATGGTAGAGCTTTCTGTTGAAACTTTTGACTGTGTTTTCTTTGGTTATGCCTCATTCTTTTGATAAACTTAAATTGAAACTACAGATTGTTGTTCTGAACGTTCTACTTGACCCTTCAAGAATCTATACCTTAGATTTCATTTCCTTCCCAAAATTTTGGTAATCTTTCGTGGAAAAGAAAGTTGCAGCAGAAGTTTTTTGATGGGTAAAACATCAATTGATTAGGTGTTTTTTCTGTCTAGACAATGATTTTTCACGCAGTCATACCATGTTTCTTTAAGATTTTCCACTTGGAATGGGGCTTATATGTGCACACCTTAACCTACAATAAGAAGAGGTGAAAGAGTGAGTAAGTAGCGAGAGGATCAAGATCCGTTCAAGAATAAATAGGTGATTGAAGGTCAGGTAATATCGGTTCAGGAGAATGACTCTTTCGTCTTGGCTTCCTGTTCTGTTTCATTCTTGTTGAGTCTTTCCTTCCTGTTCAGGAGTTTACTGCGAAAGAAGAAATAGGGACAATAGCTTTCCCTTGTTTGCTTACTGTTCAAACTTGTTTGTTTGGAACAACTTTCTAAGTGTTCTCAAACGTTTGGAAAGTCATGGAAAGTTATTCTAGACAGACCCCAAGTCTCCTTTGTTTCTGAACATGCATATGTAATCTAAATTTGAAAGCGCCGCTTTACCCTGAAAGGAAAATGAGCTTTGCTCCTCTAGGCTCCCAGCGCTCTCATGGTTCCCGAGAAGGAAAAAGAACTCATCCTTCAGCATGAGAAGATAAAAAGAGAGCTTCGTCTATTGATGAACAGTGGATTGATGGAACGCACGACTAATGTGGCTACTAAGCTATTTCTTTGGAAAGCTCCTACTGAGATGGGAAATTCCCTGATAAAGCATTTAATGTACTATAATCTATGAAGGATGAGATTTAAGTTATGTGATGTCCCACATTGGTCGGGGAGGAGAACAAAACACCCTTTATAAGGGTGTGGAAACCTTCTCCTAGCATATGCGTTTTAAAGCCAGGGGAAGCCCGAAAGGGAAAGCCCAAAGAGGACGATATCTGCTAGCGGTGGATTTGGGTCGTTACAAGTTCACTAGCAATATGAAGTCCTTTGGATAGTCAATGAAAACTCTGAATTTAGTTGGGAAACAATTTCTATATATTCTTTATTATTGAGTGTTTTTGGCTTTTAGGTTTCACTTTTCTTGTTCTATTGAACTTCTTTTTGACATTTCCTTAAGTTTTTTTCCTTCTTTCCATCATTGTTTCATGTCCTTAAATTGTATGATACATAATTCCTTATCTTTTCAAGGGTGGAATCAAGAAAACCCGAACGTTATTCTTCGGCTGCTCCACTGTCTCGTAAGATTAAGAAACATAGTTTGTTCTTTGAGCAACTTGAATTATTTAGATTTTCTTCATATTAACTTCATTGGGTTTGCACACGTCGTAGCTGATGCACGATTGAGGATTGTCTCTGAGCGAGTTGATTTCATCGACAACCTTATCATATCGGTTACGGTAATTTCTTGTTCAATTTGATATCAGTTATTTCATTCTCTTTTTAGGTTGATAGTTTTTATCATCTTTTTTGTTTCAGATAGGCCCTCCAAATTCCATGTATATAAAATCAAAGGACAAGAGTACTTGGACAGCAAAAGATGTTGCAGACTCTGTTTTATCCGACAAATCTGCATTGGTAATAGTTTCTTGCTTTTTACCCCCAAATATTTGGACAAAGCTTCATTTGAATTCATGTTCTTGTTCGTCTTGCAGCGGGTCACTTCGAGTCAGCGCCTGGCTGAGAGTTCAGTCCTAGATACTCATTCAAGTAATGTAAGTAAACTATGAAGTCCTGTTGTTAGGTTCTGTATATATGTCGCCTGGCCGAGAGCGTTTATAATAGTCCTCTGGCTCTCTCAGATTGATGGTGAGCCATACTGGTATTATGAGTACCTTGTTCGAAAGTCGCCAACAAAAATCGTATGTCTCGTCTTTCTGATCGCCATGTTTCCTCTCAGTAGAAAACATTACAAATATTTGATTATTTGAGGACTCTAATGAATCGTGCAGGTCGGAGAATCCAACATTTACAGGCATTATGTTGCATCGACCGCAGAACGAGATGGTAAGTTCTTGATTCCTAGTCTGCATTCTGTCGACAAGTTATAAATGGGTAAAAAACTTGCTATAGCATAACCTCATCTTGTCACCTGCAAAGCATATTACAATTTTCTTCTTGAAAACTGGTGCATCAGAGGTATATTCGTTGCATTATGCTTATAGCTCACTTTTCGGAAGCTTCGTCCACTCAAAAGTCAACTTTAAACGACGATAAAAGTTTTAAGTTATTAAGTTTTCACTTTCGGAGTTTGAATTCGAGACCCGGAAAGGTATTTCTAAACGTTCCAAACACTTCGAAAAGAGAAGACGAAAAGTGTGAAATGTGGTGATTTGTAGGTGTTCTTGCTTGTTCTCACCTATATGTAGGGTTTTTTTTTTTTTTTTTTTTTTTTTTTTGTTTCAATGAACTGAGGGTACCAATAATGCTTCAATTGCAGGCTTTCTGTATTCTATCAATGCTTCAACTCTTGGCGCGCAATGGAACTCTGTAAACTCTCCTTTTCTGGAATTTAATGATGTTTGTGATGTAAAATCAGTTAGTACCTAATTACCTATAAAATGTCTCTTTTTTGGGCACAGATGGGACCTTTTCTGCAGCAAACTGTCGAGTCATTTCGACTTCTTCCTCCCACGGAAGATTATGTTCCTCCATACAAGGATCCATGGAGATTTTGGTGACATTTTTTTTGTGTCCACACTGCATTTACAAGCATTTTTGTATCGTATTCTTTTGTCGAGTGAGTTCTAGTTCATTTTCGAGATCTAGGCGTAGCTACAGATTCTGAAGGGTCAGCTTTAGACAAAGTTGATCTCTCCATGATCAAACTATGTTGTGTATTTCATTGCCACTTCAAGTCCAAAAACCTTCAATAGCATAAAACTTTGAAAATCATGCTCTCATGGCCATTACACAGCAGAAAGAAGCAGAAGAAACTTGAACCTGATTGAACTTGAAAAGAATATGAAAAGATCCGCTTGTAACTTTTATTCGATGAGCGACGGTCCTTCCACTCAGCACCTTCGGATCATTAAGGCCGACTTTCGTTCCTGGTCAACGGGTGTGTCTAGTAGTCAAGCTCTCTTCTGTCTTTGTACTCAAGGACCAATCTCTTTCTGACCCGATGAAATCTTTGCCCTTGCACTCAAGGACCAATCTCTTTCTGCCAGATGAAATCTTTGCCCTTGCACTCAAGGACCAATCTCTTTCTGACCTGATGAAATCTTTGCCCTTGCACTCAAGGACCAATCTCTTTCTGACCTGATGAAATCTTTGCCCTTGCACTCAAGGACCAATCTCTTTCTGACCTGATGAAATCTTTGCCCTTGCACTCAAGGACCAATCTCTTTCTGACCTGATGAAATCTTTGCCCTTGCACTCAAGGACCAATCTCTTTCTGACCTGATGAAATCTTTGCCCTTGCACTCAAGGACCAATCTCTTTCTGACCCATCTTGGGAGGCCTACTCCCCATAAGAATTGTTTACTAAAAGTGGAATTTTTATTAAAAATAAAAAACAAAAAAAATCATAGTTTAGAAAACTAAATTGTCTACCTTAGAACAAAATTCTTTTTATAGTTAGAGTTCGTTGGATGGTAACTAATCCCCAATGATTTCCTATTAATTCTGTTTCCGTGCCACCAATGCCACCAATCAAATAACAATAGTGAAAAGACGGAAAAAACGGGACGAGATGAAAATTTTCCTATCAATCAATGATACATGAATGATAGAAAATTTTGGAGATCAAAACCATACTTTCCTTTAGTGATCCCATGCACTCTTTGCATCCATTTCTTTATTGCATGCTTTGTTGCTCATCCGCTTCTCAATATGGGTTCTTTTTCGTTATCTCTGCCATAATATTCTGCCTCAAATAAAGAACTAAATGAATAATAAAACCATTCGTCCTATAGTTAAATCCTCCTACAAAAAGTTCAAAAAAAAAAAAAAAAAAAAAACGAGACCAATAATAGGTGCTCTTCAATTTGTAGTAATTTGATACATATAGGACGAGTTGTTGAGCGATGCGTGCATAAATGCATTCCTTCTCAACACGAACCTGAAAATTTAAAGCTGATCATAAGCAATATATCGAGACAGAAACCATAATTATAAATTACTGAGAAAAAAGAGGGTTCGCCAAATGTTTTGGCAATTGTCACGAAGTAATTAACGCCTCTTACAATTCACAAACTGACAACATTATCAACATTATATTATACTGAACCAGAAGAATCCCAGATCTTCCGTCTGAAAAGTATAATATGCATGGGAGGGAGGGAGTGACTGACTGACTGACTAACAGGAGGAGGTATATGAAAAAAGAATACGAAGGGATATTAATAGACAGCAAAAAACCAATTTTCTTTTCTCTTCATTTTTCCAATTACAACTCTCTCTTCAACCACTATGCCACAAAAAATAGGAAAACCATGAGGAAGAATATTAGTACAAAGAAAATTTTGATCATCAGCCACCTATTTGATGATATACTGTTTAGATACTTGAGCAATGCTCCCTGTGCCCCCTCCACATTTGACAGAGTATCGTCCATGTTCTCGTCGATCCTGCAAAAATCGACCCAAATTAACTTTTGAACTGTAAGCTAGTTGGATGAGACTTATGGCGTACGGAAAATGTATTTATATAGGCTACTGTATGTTCCAACAGTGAAAATATATATCACGTATTTTAACCAGATATTTTGTAGACATACAATTGGTGTGATGTTCAAATTAATTGTTGTTCTTGTGTAGCACATCAAGCTCTTTAAGGTTCAAAATCTACTTGAATGTAATGGATGATGAAACCATATACTTCATGCTTTGTTTGCAACACAAAAGTAATTATGTAATCAGAGATTCTGAAGTAGGTGCAAGAGGGTAGAACCTGATAGCAATCTCTCCTTGTTCAGAAACCAGAGTGGCCAGCTGGTTGAAGATATTGCTCAATTCATGAATGGTGGATTCTACATTTTGAAGAGCTTCAGCTCGGCTCTGCATGTAAGTGTCTTGTAACGGAACCATCTGCTGCTGTTGCTGCTGCTGCTGCTGTAACAATGGTTGACTCTCCCCATCCACCTGCTTCCTGTAAATTTACAAGCAACATAATTTTTATTACACCACATAATAATCGTTAAATTAACTTCGACAGGAAAGTAGAAACAGCATGACAAAAGAAATATAGCACAACAATGAAGTTATGATCTTCTAAATATATATAAGAGCTACATGTGAACTTCCATTAGAAACACGCGCAGCAGCAGAGAAGACATCAATCCAAGTAAAGACCTAACGAATATTCCTCCAATTGGCACTAACGATGAATTTAAACTCCTTGGGTTGACAATAATAATTTAGAAGTCAAATACTGATCCAAAGAGAGTGAACGAGATAGATGAGCATTTCTAAAATGGTCATTTTACAAGTACAGAAATTTTCACCAAAAACAATAATAAATGCAAACTGGAATTCAATGTCGTTGTCCTGGTAATTTAAGAGACTTCATACATCAAATGGTTGAGTTTATCCTTTAAAAGTTTAAGCTACAATTTAGTTGCTTATGGTGACTAGGGCCATGCTCAAACAAATATGGTAAGAAAGGAGCAGGGCGATTGTTCAGGAGATAAGGTTACTGGGTAGAAAGGAATAGCAAATTGTTCAAGGAACCACCAGGTAAACATTGGGTTTGGTGTGCTTCATTTGCCTCTTCTCAAAATTTAGAGTTCAAGAGTTTTTTTTTTTTTTTTTTTTTTTTTTTTTTTTTTTTTTTTTTTTTTTTTTTTTTTTTTTTTTTTTT